GTTTACTCTTTTCGAAGTTTCAGTGCAAACTAGGATACTGTTTACTCTTTACTGCCCCCAATTTTCCACAAGTCGGCTAGTTTTCCACCGAAATTTCAATCAGAAGACAACGAAAGTTTTATTTTGGCGTATAACTTGCCTCCAGGAACTTGCCAAAACTGAACCACAGGGTCTATGTAGTGATCCACAGAGACCCTGTGGTTCAGTTTTGCTTTCCAGACCTTTGCTAAAGTTCAGCATATTGATTTGCCCTCTGGACCACTTATTTTGCGAGTATAATGAGCAAGGAACTATAGTATAACGATATAAAACCAAGCTAAAACCATGCATGTGAAGGATATAGGTTCAGTGACCGTGATTCGTATACGACTGACGTGGTTCCACGTGGCTTGCTAGGTGTTACTTCCATGTGAATCACGCGGTCGTCAACGTGTTTGAGCTCCATGGATTTTAGTGCCATGAACTTGACTTTAACATTCTTTAAATATAAGTTGTAGGCCATTGGTGTTGTTTGTCGCAAAATATTCTCGAGGCAACGATTATGACCCACTGTCAACACTTGCATCAGAAACTCTTCCACTCGATGTCTCCCTCTGGGTTCAAACCGCCGCGTACGTTTATTTTCAAAAGTATTGTTTCCTTTCCATTTGTGGGTGTTTGCGTTTCCTTTCCACGATTTGCAATAATTTCAATCCTCTGTTCCAGACAATGCTCCGAAAGACAGCGCATTTGTCGCGAAAGAGGGTTAACTGATGAGCTGACAGAGACATTTGACGAAAACACGTTAGGCACTATGAGAGAGACTGACGATGAAGAGGTTCGTGAACTCGATATGTCTCCGACATTATGCTTGCAAAAAGCATTGCTAGTACATGTTTTCCTGTTTCTGAAAGTTTGAGATTTTCTATGGCCTATTTTAGTATGTGAGCTAGTTTCAGGAGCGAGCGCTTTACGAACAAAGACGTCACGGTGTGCCTCCGCTTAACGTTGAGGAGCTGGAAAGGAGACGAGAGAAATGAACAAAATGGTGCTGAGTTATTTTTTCTTTT